ATGAAAAATTAGGTGTCTATTTACTTGTGACCACCCAGTGTATGTGTATATAGTCTCCTGTATGCTTTTTAAAGCTTTAGTGTTGTTAGGTTCATTCCATGTTGATTTTAACCCTACAAGTGCCATATTATGCTCAGATAAATTTGGATAATTAATGTATACTAATGATTTTTTGAGAGCTCCCTGAAATCAACCCAAAATCAAAATTCTGGATTTTTCTATATTAATTTTGCATATAAAATTAAATAAATAAAACTTATTTTATAGAATAAATTTTAACTCTGAAATATTTTTTTAGTGTGTGGAACAATGATAATTTTCGTTTTTTTAAATTAAATAGTGCAATTTTGACTTCAAGTGAAACTGCGTCTATCCTGGCATGAAACAGTTACATAGTTTTGTGTGTAAACTTTAAGTTTCTGTGTTTTATATTTAAAACTTCAGTGTTGTAAGAATAATACTTGTATATTAAAGCTCGTTGAGGTTGAGCTTTAATTCTGTGAAGTTTTGCAGATCTTAGTAAAATACTTTAATTGGTACCGAAAGGATTTAATAGCATGTATATTTACACATAATCTAGACCTTTTGTACAAAGTGCATATACAATTGCATAAAAGAAGATAAAGCTTTGCACTAACTTCATGACAAAGTCTGGTGAATATTCACCTTTTTTTTTTGTGTGAGATTTGATCCAGTTTTCTTAATGATGCATTTGGAGTATCTGATGTTCTACAATATACTTATGGTTTCAAAGCTTAAACATGATGGTCATTAATTTCTTATTCTGAATACATGAGGTTGGACTTTTCTTTGTTTAGATCTCTATGAAGCAGAACAACTACTTAAGGAAGTTGATATCCACACTGTGACTGGGCTGTTAAAGTTGTATCTGAGGGAATTACCTGACACACTCTTCACAGATGCTCTTTACCCTATGTTCTTTGAAGCTTTTAGTAAGTTGTTATAGTGCATCATTTTCTGAATAAGTGTAATAAGAAATACTGTTATTATTGAAGATATAAATCTCAATCAATTAAATGTGGAATACTTGCAGGGATAATTTTATTTTATTTTTTTGATCACTGGAACTGTTGATTTTGTAATGCACTTGTAAGAAATACTAGTGTTGTGCATTTATTATATTTGTGTGGTTCTGTGGTCATTTTGCCCTTTAAACTTAAATTGTTTTATGAACTTATGTAATGTTAAAGATTTAAAATTAAAGAAGAAAAATCAGCTAAAAAAACCTCTGTGGTACAAAAAAATGGAAAACAAAAAACTTATACCACAAAACTTAGCTAATGTGAAATAGATATTTTAATATTCACAACATTTCAGACTGGGATGCCCTTCCTCTGGTGATTTTAAAACTGTAATGGAATAGAATGTTTGATATCATAATGATTTTCAAACATAGAACATTCAAAGTTAACATCATCATGCAACAGATCTAATGTAGCATACATATGAAACACTGGCAAACCAATGTTTTTACAGTAAGATAATATTTATATATGTCATTATAAATGAAAATAAGAGTCCAAATAGGAATAAGAATCAAAAATAAGTTTGAATTATATTTAAACGTATTTGAAAAACATATCAATAATATCAACAAGAAAATTAGGTGTTTTGCATTGTTGCAGAGCAACAATGTCACGTTTCAAAAGTTCCAAAAATAGCTAATGCTCTGAGGCTTAACAAAAATAGAATAAGTAAATTTAAAAAATAAGATTTAATTAATTATAGATGAAGAATATATATATATATCTCTGTGTGTGTGTGTGTGTGTGCAAGAAAAAGATAAAAATGAGCTCATGCATAAACATTTTTGTGAGCTCTCATATGTGTACACAATCAAACAGTTGTTCACTTGCACATCCAAGTGCCTAACTTATTGCATCACTTGTTTACATTGTGGACAACTGTAAGTAGGAGAAACTGGTCAGATGTTGTCTGAACGAGCACATCTGTAACATCCAGAATTATGATTCTGACAAACCTGTGGCTAAACATTTCAATAATAATGATCATAACATTAGCCACTTCAGAATCCTGGCCCTCCGTCATTTATCGACAGTCAAGAAAAGAAGACAACAGGATGAATATGAACTTATCTAACGGCTTCGTACCATTCACCCGAAGTGAATAAATGAAAGATTTTATTTTCTATAACTCTGCCTATATTGGTGTGTGTGCACATGCATATAAAATTATGCAAGCTCATAAAAAAATTTTATGCACGAGCTCATTTTTATCTTTTCCTTGCACACACACACTTATATTCTTCACCTTTAATTAATTAATCTTTTTTTTTTGTATTTACATATTTTATTTTTGTTAGGTCTCAGAGCAAGCACTTCAAACTTTAGAAATGGGACTTTGTTGCTCTGTTAATATTATTAGTATGATTTTCATATACGCTAAAATATAATTCAAACTTATTTTTGATTCTTATTCCTATTTGGACTCTTATTTTCATTTATAATGACATATATAAATATTATCTTACTGTAAAAACATTGGTTTTCCAGTGTTTCACGTGTATGCTACATTAGATCTGTTGCAACATGTTTATATCAATGTTCTATGTTTGATAATCCTTGTGATATCAAACATTCTATTCCATTACAGTTTTAAAATCACCAGAGGAAGGGCATCCCAGTCTGAAATGTTGTGAATATTAGGACATCTATTTCACATTACCCATTTTTTGTTTCAAAATTAAAGGTCAAACCAGTTATTTTTGATAAAGCTGCTTATTAATTAGTATTACGAATACTTAGTTATCTACATAGTAGAAAGATTTTATTGTTGATTTTACTCTATTTATCTGAGATTTTGTAATTTAAAAGATGTCAATAACTACATTGATTTTTTATACTATTGATTTCCTTGAACAAAATACCAGTTAACAAATGTGTAGATAATAAGCATTTGTTAATAGATGGTATGCAGTTTTACAGTTAAAATTCATAGAAAATATTCTTTGTTACAAAACTTTACTGCATCTATTTTTACCTTGTTACAGGTGTGCAGGACCAGAAAACTAGAACGAGGAGACTTTTGTCATTGTTTCATTCTCTACCAACCATTAATCAAGAAGTTCTCATAAAACTGGTTGATCATTTGGTCAAGTAAGCATTTATGTTATGCTAAAAAAAGTCTTTACTTTAAAATGGTTTAGTCATTAGTATTGACTAACTCGGGGAAGCTGAGTCTAAAATTAATTTTAGGTACTTTTAACAACCACAGAGATATCATTTGTACTTATTCTCATCATTTTGAAGATGCAAGCTTCAACTTCTTAGAGCTAAGGTGAAACTAGGAACATCACATATAACAAATATAATTTCTGTGTTGGTGCCAGTTGCTAATAGTAAAATTACAAAAAATATAAGATGTTATATATTTGTAGAAATGTTATTATGAGTCCCAGTCTCCTAGTGAAGTTTTCTTGATGAAGTGCTGATATTCTTTCTACAGGGTTAACCAGCATGAGAGCCACAACAAGATGTCATTACACAGCCTAGCTACAGTATTTGGTCCAAATGTTTTGAGACCAGGTTCTCATTCTACAAGTTCAAAATTGGCAGATCTGGCAGCAAGCACAGTCGATGTGATAGCCCAAGCCGGAATCCTTTATTTCTTTCTGAAGTGTAGAGAAGCAGGACTTCCTTTAACAGTTGAATCTTTTAAATGAGGCCTTTTGCATATTAGGATATTAAAATTGAAAGTGCATAAAGCATCCAGCACGTACACTAAATCCATCTTCACTGCAAATATGATAGAAAAAAGACGCTTTTACAAACTGTGACAGTTTTTTCATTGACAAAACCTGAATTTTACTCTTGTCTTCTACTCTTCTGCCCAAGTTCTATATTCATCTAAATGGTTTTAAATCATTTGCCATTTCATTTAATGTATTTGTAAAGTTTTTCATTAGTTAATTTCAACCTGATATTTTTATTTTGCCAGAATTACTAATGTCTTCCACTATTTTCATTATCAGTGTTCTAGTCTTGTGTATTCAGTATTAAACATTACCAAATACAGAAATAAAAAACAAAAGAGGGGGGGGGTACAAAACATCTGCTAACAGTTTAGTTTTGTGTTGTATTAACTTACTCAGTATTTCGTAAGTTTTCATATAATACAGAAATATCTACTGGTGTTGAGATTATTTGAAATTTTATAGAGTGAGCATCCTACTTAATCTCCCCCCCCCTCCTCCTCAATTTGTAAAAGAAGAATGGGTTGGAGCATCCTAAACAAGATGCATGAACAATGGACGGAGTACTCTGGTTTATTCTATTTTACAGTACTTCTGATGTTTACTAGTATTACACCATTATAATTAAACAATAAATTAAGTGTACAAAGGTTTTGCTATGAAAAATGTACATTCTATAATATCTACATTCTCATTATAACATAATTGTTTTTTATTAGTAGATCTAACAAGACTAAAACTTGTTGCCATTTGTGATAAAATTAATTTTTTATATAAATGTTGTAATGTAACATCAGAAACCTGGCAAGTTAAATAGTAGTGGTTCAAGTCTGGTCTGTCTTACTCTATATTCTGATTAAGATAAGATGCAGTAAAAATCTAAATCTGTCCTGTGTTATACGATGTTAACAAAGTTTATTGAAACCTTTTGCTGTATCAAAGTATATATATTCTATTTTTTTTGCAAACCTGAACTAGTGACTTTTGCCTCCCAGTGGCACAGAGGTACGTCTGCGGACTTACAACGCTAGAATCCGGGTTTCGATACCCGTGGTGGGCAGAGCACAGATAGTCCATTGTGTAGCTTTATGCTTGATTACAAACAAACAAACTAGTGACTTTTAAAACAATTTTGACCCTATCCTCCAAAATCACAGCTATTGTTAAAGGTATTTTACCTTCATTATTTCCAAGAGCATTAAAGAACAATGAAAAACTAGTTTGTGAACAAATTATAAAAGTGAATAAAGACCATGTGCTTTAACGTTTGCTTTATAAAATAGTTTTTATTGAGAAAACCTTAACTTACAATTATTACCCTAAAGCATAAGTTGAAGTTAACTTTTTTTGTTACATAATATTTGATTGCGTCTTAAATTAGGATCTAGTACTTATTTTTTATTTTTTTTACATTTATACTAAGAGAATGTATAGTAGTAGCTGACAAGCTTCACCTGTGATTATTTTGGACTAACCTTAAATTAATATATGTTTTTCTTTTCTACATTTAGAAATATCAGCTTTACAAGTTTAGTAAGAATTTGGATTAATGTGAACATGTTAAACTTACTTTTTAATAAACAATAATATATTGTAGACAATTCTAAAAATGAGACTGTTCCCAGTCTCAAAAATCCAATAAAATACCAAATAAATCACTGTATACGATAAAAGAAAAAATCCTGATGAAACTGGAAACAGTCTCATATGCTCAACATGTTTTCACTCAATGTTTTTACTGCATCATTTAGTGATTATTTCTTTTACTGTATTTTTGAGACTGGAAACATTCCCATTTTTAGAATCGTCTGCAATAAATCGTTCTTTATTAAAAAGTGAGTTTTTAACATTGAGCATTTACACAAGTGCCAATGAATTTTAATACTGTGAACATATTTTAAAAATGATGAAATTTGTTGTCTTGTCATTAAAATACTTGCACAGAAAGTATAGCTAACTTTTAAAAATTAAAGCCTGAAGTTATTGACAAATTGTTTGAATAGTGTATAGTCTCCTTAATTCTTGACAATTCTAGTTTTGTATATTTATATATAGAAATAATATAACTCGTCCAGTTGGACAATTTTTTATTTTTTTAATACTGTAGTTATCTGAAAATTTTGTATTTCAGGACATTTAATTGTTCAGAATGATCAATAAAGTTTTTATCATAGTTGTTCCTTCTTTCACGGAGACAATTGACATGTTGAATTAATTTTACAGAAAAACTTTATGGTAATGTAATTCACAAGAAAAAATAAATAAAACATCCATATCAAATAGAAACAAAATATATGCCTGCATTATTTCATGTTTCTGACTCTAAGGATTTTTACATTGTTTAAATGCTAAAGCTGGAGTAATTATATTTTAATCTTAAAACACCATTAAAAAGGGTTAATGGATATATTTTGTGTGTGTGTGTATTAGTACTTCTTTCATCATTTAACTGACCTGATATAGTATGGTACTAGAAGAATGTAACTCCGGTACTTAGCAGTAGTGTCTATAGTTACACACATTATAAATCAATACAACCTGTGGTATTAAATAGAAATACCCGTTGAGGAAATAATGTATGTGTTCAATCACAACTTACTA